ATTGTTTAAATTTCCCCAATATGCTTTTCTTTCTCAGTAACTGAGTTCCTGCATGTTCATCCTGTAATGTAAACAGGCCTGAGCATGACTTCACAGTATTCACTATGATTCCTTGACGAACATTTCCTCAGGTGGGGTGTTTTTTGTCCAGGAGAGTTTTATCCTGCAACATGCTTCAGCCATTTTCGAGTGGGTCTTCTGTGTCATTATTATGCTATTCTATGGCACATTCGCTTTTGAATTCGCCGGGATATCTAGTGACACCATGATGGTGCTGGCCCGAGGACAATCTTTACCCTCCGTAAGCCGAGACCACAAAATGGAGTCTCTAAGTGGAGCCAATCAGCACCAACCAGAGAGTCTGTCCATATTATAACCCCAAGCTCTTTTAACACTAGAAGAAAAACACTTCAACCGCAGAGGGAAAGTAACAGAAACTGGTGTACCTTTGCCAAAGAATCCAGCTCTGATTTTGCACATTTTGGAGAGACTTCTTTACTCTCTGGGGACCTTTTGAATCTAACATCTTCCATGCTGGGAAAAACAAAAGTCATCGCCTGGATGTGTCTCTTAGAAGTCATTGGGATTTCGAAGTGGATAAATTAAGAACTACTAGTTGGCTAAACTTTCTGGTGAAACCAGAGGAATGCTACATCAGTTGCTTAATAAAAACCCCAACACTAAAGCATTCTAACATGGTGCCTTAACAAACGTTATAGTGCCAATTTCAGACCTTTCAAGACAATGAATCCAAAAATGCTGTTTTCTGTGCCTTTGTTTTTTTTTTTTTTTTTTGTCCAAAGGTAGAAATGGTTAAATCTTATAATGTTTTGTCTGTCCGTCTGTTAACTGATCAAAGTGTTTCATTTTGCCTTAATCACCATATGCTGTCTGAAATGTCTTGTTCAGGAGATTGTCATTACCATTGTGCCTTAAACCAAAAGCCAAATACAGCTATTTAATAGACATATACTGTACGTCCATAGTCTAAATCTGAAAACTGCCTTGAATATACAAGGCATGTATATTTTCATATGCATTGTAAAGAGCAAAGCTGAACGAGATCAGCAAAAACCTCTCGCGAAACAGGCGAATAAGCTTATTATCACGTTAAGTCGCCTGTAATTGGTGCCATTCCAGAAGTCATGTTAGAGGCAATGAATATTGCTGTACATAGTGACCAAATGTAACTAAGAAAAGAGATAGTTTGTCCTGAGGTCATTGTGATTGTTCCCTCTTTCTGTCAATGTGGGAACTGTCATGTGTTGTGTTTTGGTTGGTTACAAGGAAGCGTAGCTATGAAAGTTGCCCTCTTAGAGAGTGGCTAGTTTATGTGTTCACACAAAAGGTCTTTGTGGGCTGTTTTTTGCAGACAAAATGACATGCAGCAGGACTGCTAGTTCATAACTGTTTTTGTTTGTTTTAAAAATAAGAGATGAATCTTGGTTTACAGCGGTCTTATGTTTTCATACTAACAACATGACAAACAAAATTTTTTTTTCAATCATTATCATGGGAGTTTAGTCATATCATTTATCAGGATAAGAGCCATATTGATGCTTATCACCATCTGATCTACCAGTGCCGTCCTGAAAATATCTTTCATTCTCTGTGCTCAGGAAGATCTGTTTCTTGCTTTCATAAAACTTATTTCCATGCTCATGACTGTGTTGATCACCCACACTTAATGGGTTCAACCAAAAATTACAGTTCTGATATTAATTACACACCCTCGTGTCCTTTCAATCTCCTGAGACAATTATTAATCCTTGTAACACAAATTAAGCAGCCTGATCTTACAAGAAAATGTAAGTATTTTACGTTTTGTCAGTTTTGTGGCTAATTCATACGAATTTGTACAAGTTCAGTCGTATGAAAATGTACGATTTAAAAAACCCAACCCCACCCTTAAACCCCACTGTCATTGGATGATGAGAAAATCATACTAAATTGTACGAATTAGATCTTACGAATTTATACGAATTAGCCACTAAATCAAAAAGTTACAAATTGCCATGAGATTGCGTTGAACTGACATATTTTAGATATAATTCGAGAACCCTCTCATCCTCCATAGAATGCAATGGCCCAGAAAAGAAACAAAGAACATTGTCAAAATTGTGTTCAAGAGTTCACTCTTAGATATAGCTTGATAATGTTAGCAGGTTTGGCTTGCTGTTCTGGAAGAGAACCCTGAGCTTGGAGATAAGTGAGTTCAAGGCTTCCGCCAGGTCAGTGAGCATGTAAGTGTGTACGAGATCAGGTCCTCCTTGATTATCAAGGGGCAGCCCAAGATGAATAGGCCACACCACACCAGCACATACCCAAGCGATGAAAGCTCAGTACTAAAGTACTCATATACTGTTCCTATTGGTTTATTTAATTATCTTATGTCACATGTCTTTGGACTGTGAGAGGAAACTGTAGTAACCGGGGGGAGACCCATGCGAACTCGGGGAGATCATGTAAACTCCGCACAGACATGCCAACTGGCCCAGCCGGGACTCGAACCAGTGACCTTCTTGCTGTAAGGCAACAGTGCTAGCCACTGAGCCACCATGCCACCCAATCCTGGATTAATCTATTAAAGCAGAGGGAGATGGGGGAATAGTTTTTTTTTTTCTAGACGGGGCATTTATATTAAGTGTGGAATGATCCGATCGGCTTGCTAATGATCACAGATGGGGGACCAACCTCGATCAATCATATCTTGTGATACTCTCAAAATTAGTTTGTGAACTTTACTTTTAGCGCACAAAATTGTTCAGAGAAGAAAGCTCTCTGATCTCATCTAAAATCACTTATTTGGGTTCCAAAGATAACTGAAGGTATCAGGGTACTGGAATGATACGAGGTTGACTAATAAACAACAGAATTTACATTTTTGGGTGAACTAATGCTTTGGGTTTTATCTTCTTAAAGTAACTTAAATACTATCTTGAAAAAAAAACATAGTTTTTTTTTTTTGTCATTTAAACCAATCTTTAATGTACCTCTAAAATATTCTTAATATTGCTTGAAGAAACAGTTTATTTATAAATAAAAACAAATCACTGTTCACCCTTATGTTGTTTCAAAACTAAATGCTGTTTTTCCCCTGTGGATATGAAATGGACAAATGTAAAGATTTGGCAGCTCAATTGTGCACACGACAGTTCTACAATTGTAGTGATCATAATATAAAATAGCTCATAAGAATTGTTTGGTATATTATCAGCACAATTGCTATGGATGAAATACAGATGAACCTTTTCCGTTGGCTGAATTCATCAAATCTAATTTCCATCGCGTTTAGCTTGCAGAATAAATTGTGATTTTCCTCTAAATAATTAAGTTTCGTTGTCTCCTCTTTTAAATCAAGTATTTAAAAAAAAATAGAACGTAACATGTGCTGTGCTACAGCAATGTATGTGTTTTTGGAGCTTATTGTAAAACACTTTGGCCAGATAAATGAAAGCAAACCAGTTTTGGTGTGAAAACCCTATAGTCCAGATTTACTAAAGGAATAAAATAAAAGCAATAATGAGGAAAGGATACTTTTTTATTAATGACTTTATTACATTTGCAGGAGTTTCCTTTTCAGATGCAATTTTTGGAGTATTTAAATTAATTATGCAATTTGAAATAAGGATTTAGTCAGTTCTCTTGCATTTGCATCATTTAACACCCCCAAAAATGGTTGCAAACCTTAATGAGTTTTGGTTGTTGAACACAAAAGACATTTTGAAAAATGTTGAAAACTGGATATCCATAGTAAAAAATGCTGCTAAAAAAAGTTATTAAAAATTCCTAATCAAAATATGTCTTTTTGTGTTCAGCAGTAAAGAAACTCATACAGATTTCTCATTTTCAGTATTTCTTTAAAATGTAGTTTGTTGAGTTCATTTTCCCTGTCACCTTTTGCCTAGACTGGTGTTCCTCCATGTATTATCTACTAGTTTGCTTAAACCTGGGCTCCTGACAGTCAATAGCTGTAAACCTGCTGCAAACCTGCTGACATTCAACTAGACTCACCTCTTTAATGTCATAGCAGAAAGCAAAAATACCTTCATGTGCCTTTGTTTCAACCAAAGACTGAGTCAATGATTGGAGAAATGTTTTGATTGGCAGGATGTGTTTGATTGTGCTGTAAATTTGCCTTAAAATATATGGAAATAAAGCAGAATCAAACTCATCACACCGTGTGCACTGAACTTTGCTTAAGTCAAGTCATGTTGACTTGTCACACAGCTCCTGCTTCTCACCATGGACTTTGAGATTACTCAAATTCATTGAATCTGTTTATTTTTCTTTGACTCATCAGGCGTTTCTTAACTATTGGTGACCTGTTACAAAATTTAGTACATGTTTTTTAAATTCATTGTAATGTGCAGTTTAACTGAATGATTGTTTGTCATACAGGTATAGTCAAATTTATTAGGCCCCCTTCAATTTTTTTTTTTTTTTTTACTTTTTTAAATATTACCCAAATGATGTTTAACAGAGCAAAGACATTTCACAGTATGTCTGATGATATATTCTGTTCTGGAGAAAGTCTTATTTGTTTTATTACGACTAGAATAATAGCAGTTTTTAATTTTTTAAGAATCATTTTAAGATCAAAATTATTAGCCCTTTAAGCTATGTAATTTTTCAATAGTCTACAGAACAAACCATCGTTATACAATTACTTGCCTAATTACTCTAACCTACATAGTTAACCTAATTAACCTAGTTAAGCCTTTGAATGTCACTTTAAGCTGTATAGAAGTGTCTTGAAAAATATCTATAGTCAAACAATATTTACTATCATGGCAAATATAAAAGAAATCAGTTATTACAAATGAGTTATTAAAACTATTATGTTTATAAATATGTTGGGAATATGTTCTCGCAGTTAAACAAAAATTGGGGTAAAAAAAAATAACAGGGGGGCTAATAATTCAGACCTCAACTGTATACCAACAACTGAGTTGTATTTGTGTCTAAAGACATCCATACTGACACCGGACAAGTATAAAGAATTTTCCACACTTTAATTATTCACAATTATTTACATCTTAAATTCAATCTTAAAGAAAAAAAGTTGAAAATCTGAAAGAAGTATAGGATGGTTTACAGTGTTTTTGAAGAATTAATACCGATGTTTAACTTACAGAAGTCAACAAATGCAATTACACAGTGGCTTCCATGCACACATAAAATGCGCAACTAAAGCTTTTTTAAAAACCGAAGTACATTCACACATACATACATACATGCTCACTCTCCAGTGGTGAAAATTAATATAAGAACAGAACAGGATCTGTATGTACACAACAATATTCTCATAATAACATACCTCTTTCATTATCCAACATTAATGAGATGATACAGTCAAAACGAGGCATAAACAAGTAATGTTTGTGCAAGAAATAGGCACACAAATTAGACCCTTTTAAGACTGTATGATGAGAGGAATATGGTTCTCAGATAGAACCTAAAAAACCTAAAGCTTCAGTGGTCCACAATATCATGTGTATGTCTCCTCAAAACACACTCACAAATTATAAAGTCGCCTATAGGCATAGTAAACTTTTTTAAAAGCTGAAATGTGTTTCTGAGCCGCCATTGTCACCCAAAATATTGCAAATTATTTTTGCACTTTCCCCAAATACTTTTAGGCCTGCTCCATCTAGCAATGATACGAAAGCCCGCCAAAAACTCGCGCCAAGTCCAACCAGTGTAGCTGCTGTGACAGTAATTTTTTGAAAGCCCCACATAGTCACAATACTTAGCCTACAGGTAAGCAGGTAACCTTAGCAGGTAAGTAAATTATAAAATCATTAGGCCTACATTAAAATTGTCTCTATATGCTTATCTAGCATAGGACAATGAGAATTAAAAAAAAATGCTTCTGCTTTAAGGAATGATCGCTCGTCATGCGTGTTGAGGGATCGTGCAGGTTTCTAAATAAAAGACTGATTACAATTTCTTAACATTTACAGTATATCCATCTAATCTATTATTTTGTGTATGCGAAAAGAGAACAAAGGGGTAAAGGAGCACTGAAGTGGCTGAATGACTGAAGGTAGGGCTCGCACCTCCTCTCGCTTTAAACCTTGAGGGTTTTGGCCATCTCCCAGGGGAACTCTGACCTCCCGAAATGACCATAGCAGGCGGTGTTCTGGTAGAATGGCCTCTTCAGGTTCAGATCCCTGTCAGGGGAAAGTGAGTTAGTTTTCACTTTACAGCCTGGTTCTTGAACTAAAATGCGCATAATTTAGTAAACTGTCACTATATGTAGTAATTACATGAATGTACAATTGCATAAGGAATTGAAATTGTTTAAAACACAAGACGCTTATTACAATGTAGTACCGTTAGGTCTAGTAGGACTACATTGATGGTAGTGGAACGCCCCCTGGAGGAGATATTGGGGACTGTTAAGAGTAAGGTTTAATTTTATTATTATTATTATATGATGTTATGACTTTATAACGTGTCGTGTTAGCAGATTAAACAACGCATATTATAAAACCATATTACAAAGTAATGTACTCTAAATTCTTTAGATTGTGTGAGAATGCTAAAACTACTAATGCTAAAGGATTTTTCAGGTGATTATTGGGGATTTATATTGAATATAACGCAACATAAATCTTTTTTTTTTACTTAATACATAAGTTGGTTTCATTTTACACTTTTAACATCTGGATCATTGACTGAATTTTTTTTTCATCCTTTTTAAGTTTTTGGTTTTAGATTAATCAATGATGTGACATCACATGTCCCTGATTAGTCATAAACAAACAAAAACATTTTCCTGAATTTGGAGAACATTAAAAGAACATATTATCTTATTAATTGATTACCTAACAATGACACCTGGTCGGAGGTCAAAGTTCTTGTTGACAATATGTAGCAACTCCTTCTCTGTTTTTTCCGATGAGCCGTAGGTGAAGAGGGAGATTGAGAGTGGGTGGGCGACTCCAATGGCGTAAGACACCTACACAGCAAATATATTATTCGTGACCCTTACCAGAAAACAGCTCACCCATTCCAGTTTAACCAAGTCAGATAAAATTGGACAGTAATTTGGTGTGTTGCTTGAATCAACATTTTTGTCCAGACACAAGGCAATGGCTCAAAATTATTTTGTCTCACCTGAACCAGCACTCTTCTGCACAGTTTGGACTTCACCAGAGACTTCGCTACCCAGCGAGCAGCATAGGCAGCAGAACGATCCACCTTAGTGTAGTCCTTTCCAGAGAAGGCACCACCACCATGAGCTCCCCATCCACCATATGTGTCCACAATAATCTTCCTTCCTGTAACACCAGCATCTCCCTGGAAAAAGAGATTATTTTACTCTTTAAATCAATGGTTTCCAACAATACTGGTAAACTGCAATCTTTTTGCAGTTCTGAGTTAAATATTTCCAACCAGCTGTTAAATATGTTCCGCTGATGTAAATATGCAGTGGCATTTAATAAAAAAAAAAGTGGACTAGATTGAAACGTCCAAAGGAAACTTACAACTTCCAATCACTATGCACAAGCATGAATAAAATAAATGATTAATTCTGTGAAATTTTAAAAGGATGAATTAATTTATTTTGCAAACCTCCTGCCCTAGTCCCTAAATCTGTTCCCTGAGGTCCAAAGTCCTACTGGGTTCAGTTTCAACAGTTTTAAACACCCGAACAATCTAATCAAGGTCTTCATTCATTCATCTTCTTTTCGGCTTAGTCTCGTTATTAATCTGGGGTCACCACAGCTGAATGAACCACCAACTTTTCCAGTATATGTTTTATGCAGTGGATGCAGTTACTAGCTGCAACCCATCTCTTTGATAAACATCAATACACATTCATTCGCTACGGACAATTTAGCCTACCCAATTCACCTGTGTCGCACGTCTTTGGACTTTGGGGTAAACCGGAGCACCCAGAGGAAACCCACGCAAACGCAGGGAGAACATGCAAACTCCACACAGAAACGCCAACTTAGTTGGCGGTTCATTCTGCTGTGGCGACCCCAGATTAATAAAGGGACCAAGCCAAAAAGAAAATAAATAAATGAATTAAACTTGCCGGTTCATTTCGTTGTGGCGACTTCCAGATTAATAAAGGGACTAAGCCAAAACGAAAAATATTGAATAATTGAATGAAAAGCACGGTTGTCTCACAGCAAGATGGTGACTATTGAAAGTCCCTGCTGGACCAGAAGGCTTTTCTGTGTGCAGTTTGCTGTGTCTTGTCTGGGATTTTTCCAGGTGCTCTGGTTTCCCCCACACTCTAAAGGCATTCAGTATAGGTTATTTGGATAAACAAAATTGACTATAATGAATTTATGAATAGAAGATTTTTTGTGTATGTGTTTCCCAGCACTGAGGGTTTCATTTTCAGTGCTGAGTTGCGGCAGAAAGAGTATTTGCCACTAAAACATACGTCAGAGAAATTGTCGCTGTGGTGACCCCTGATAAAGCAGGGAATAAGCCAAAGGAAAGCAAGCGAGTAAATAAATTGCACTGTTCATCCCACTAGTGTGCTTTAATGTTCAACCAGGAAATTGGTACAAAATGGCATAAAGTCACACTTTTTTCTGGTGCTGCTAGTCAAAAATTACTGGCCTACAAAACATTTGCTTATGAACTTCACATTATGTTCTCTTCCAATAACGGTATGATTGTTTTTGTGTTTATTTGTAGAACTGATTAATTTTAGCCGATAATAGCGCTTGATCTGAACTTACAAAAGTTTTGAGACATCTGCCTGTACATGCACATCTTAATAAATAAGTTTATATAATATACAGGTTCAAATATAGAGTGTATAGGAGTGTGTTTATTGGACTGCATATGACACTTTTCATTTTACTTGGTGATGCAAGGCTTGGATGCAGCTGCTTGGCCATGGAAACCCATTCCATGATGCTCTCTGTGCACTTTTCTTGATTTAATCTGAAGGACACATTCGGTTTGGAGGTCAGTAGCTATTGAATCTGAAGAAAGCAGCCTATCATGCACTAATCATGTTTTTCTAAATTGCTTTGGCTTTGTTATAATATAAAGGGTTGACTGTGAAATACTTACTGCTGAGGAAATTTCACCAGTGGACATTGCCATGGAAGTTATTGAAACACCTGAATTCACTGAACTGAATTTGTATTTTATAGCGGTTGAGTCTACATGGGTTTTATACTTGGAATTAAGGGCACATGAGAATGTCCATAAAAATTTCAGACACCATTATAAATGGCTGATCCCTTAAATAGTCCACTATACAAGGGTGTAGATGGTGTGTTTGGATAAAGCCTAAGGTTGCATCTAAAACCCCATACTTCTATACTATATAGTACAACAAAATCAGTTTGTGACCCAAGTAATATGTCCAAATTCAAAGAATAGGAAAAACAGTATGTGAGAAGTACCCGGGTGACTTACTACTTCCGGCAAGACTGTAAAGTGCGCATTGGATGGACGCTACGCTATCCCGTGATGCACTTCAAGAGAATTCATGAATGGGAGTGAAACGACGCAACTGATGTAGGTGGGTCATGTGATAATGACAAAACAAGGGGATGTAGTACATCCGAGTTCCATTCATCTTACTTGCTTAGTACTATAAAGTCAAATGCAGTGCCTAATGAATAGTAGGTTATTTCGGATGCAGCCGGCATCTTCAGGATTAATGGAAAATTACAGGCAGGTGATTTTGATTAGAAATGGAGCTAATTTTACCCACTCCTTGGTTTGGTTGCCGCAACACCATTCTTGTTTACATATAACTGTCCTTGTGGTTTATAGAGAGAATGAGCTTACCTGAGGTCCTCCGATGACAAAGCGTCCACTGGGCTGCAGATGGTAGACTGTCTTATCATCAAGATATCTGGCTGGCACAACAGCTTTGATGACCTTCTCCTTCAGAATACGCTGCTGCTCCTCCAGTGAAATGTTGTCATCATGTTGGACAGAGATGACAACTGTGTGGACACGCAAAGGAATCACAGCACCGTTCTCCTGTTTGTAGTGCACAGTGACCTGGAGTTGTGGAAAACATGCAGAAGTGAAGTAAGGCTTTGTTAAGTGTGATTTTACCTATGCTTGACATTGAAACCCATCCAAGTGCACACACACTGAGAAGTGAAAACACAGCAAACATACACCAAGAGCAGCAGGCAGCTATTGCTTTGCTATAGCTCACTTTTCCAGCGAGGTTAGGTACCTTGCTCAGGGGTACAACAGCTGTCAGGACTTGGGATCAAACCTGCAACCTTTGGGTTACAAGTCCAAATACCTAACCATTAGGCCACATCTGAAGTCAACGTTTTAATCTGTGTGTATACCATGGGGATTGTGAAGACATTTCCTGCTGTATGGTCTGAAAATATCAGAACTCTAAAATAGATCCGGGGTTTCAGCTTCCTGAGAGCTGCCCAGCTTGAGTTGCTGGCATGCTCCTGAGATTGACGGGTGCACAGCCGTGTCCTCTGTCCCACTGTGAAAAAAGTGAGGGCCAGGGGCCCTGGATGTCACGCTGGGGGTCATTTTTTTACAAGCATTAAAAGAGACCGCCTCATGGTCACTGTCTTGCTCAATAGTCGTCACACCTATTGGCCAATGTACTGGTTCAATGAACAGTCGGCTGATAAGATAGCTTGGTCAATGTCAATCAGGGGCTCTGAACCTGCACACTGTGGCTTAGCAGACTCACAATCATATGTGTAGGAATAGCTTAAACATTATTTGTTTTTATCTTCTAAACGTCATGTTTTGATTTTGATTTCCCTTTTATACTGCTGACCTGAGTCTTTGAGTCCGGGCGAAGCCATGGGATGGTGCCGTCCCGCCGCAGCTCAGCCATTTTTGAATTGAGTTTGTGAGCAAGGACAATGGTGAGAGGCATGCACTCTTCTGTCTCATCAGTGGCGTAGCCAAACATGAGCCCCTAAAACAGAACAGAAATCCAACATGAACAGGTTGATCACAAATGAACCATTTGAACACATTTGAATTTCTTTTGTGTACAGACCTGATCTCCAGCTCCAATATCTTCCTCATGCCTGTCAACATGGACACCCTGAGCTATATCAGGAGACTGCTGCTCGAGAGCTACCAGCACATTGCAAGTTTTATAGTCGAAACCTGAACAGGGAAGAGAAAAGAGTGAAAAGTGATCAAAATTGGTGAATAGATTTAACGGATGATGCACGGAAAAACAAAATATGTATCGATCCTGACCTTTTTCAGAGTTGTCATAACCAATGTGTTTTATGGTGTCTCGCACAATCTTCTGGTAGTCCACATTGGCCCGAGATGTGATCTCACCACAGAGAAGCACCATACCAGTTTTGCAGACAGTCTCTGATGATTAGAACAACAATAATTAGCCAAACGACCCATAAAAAAAAAAAAAAAAAAAAAACTGTCACTGTGTAACCCATTGCTAGATTGAATTTGGAAATAGAGATGTTATTCATTTAAATGCCGTTAAACTTAACAGATAGAAAGTGCTAAAAATGGTCACTCGATAACCAAGTGAAGATTGACCAACTGTTGGACTGTGGACTTTCAAATATATCAATGTTTATACAAAAAATAAAAACATAAACGTGTTTATTTAGTTTGCAATTAAACTGTTCACTCACCACAGGCTACTTTAGCATCCGGGTCCTGCTTTAAGTGTGCGTCAAGAACTGCATCACTGATTTGGTCACAGATTTTATCTGTAAACATAAGCACACTATTATAAAACAAAGTTATGTAAGGACTCTGATTAAGGTTCAAGTGTATGTTTCAGTTTAGTGTAAGAGTTTCAATGCCTCCCCTATAGTTAAGACTCACTAAATCTGACACAGGAATCTCAACAAAGCAAATCCACAGATGAGCAGCTGGAGGACAATGCCAGTGGTCCTGTCCTTTCAGGCTCATTCACTCTATATTTGGCCTGCTAGCTGAGGCAACTGTTTAGGTGAGTTACATCAGAAACTACAATGTCAGAATTTACATCTCAGGTGATAACATGAAACAACAAGTCAGATCACTTAAGTCTGGATCAGTGCAGAATAGATTTTCTAGGTCTTTCACATGCACACTTATTGATTGATCTGTTGAAACATACACTGATCAAAGATGATTAGTGAAACTCTTTACATTTTTCTTTTCAAGTGAACCAGACATAGTTTGCAGTGTTGCAAAATTTGTCTAGGAGGAAACCAGACTGGATTATCCACTTAGAGTCATTATAAGTCATTAAGAGTTATTAAGTTTGCTGTAAAGCAGCTTTGGAAAAAATGCATTGTTAAAACCAACATATACATCATATTGACTTGGCATTTCAGAACTGCAGCACTTTGGCCTTGTAGCTTGACATGAGAGAACCGCAATATGGTTGATAAGAAACGCACAGTCTGGCAAGTTCCCACATGAGGCAGAAAAAACCTACTGAAGAAAAATTTGTTGGCATACAACTGCGACACTTTTTGACTCAATAGATGGCAATGGGCCAGTGTCATAATCAAATACCTTGTTATTATCAGTAAGTTCATCATGAAATAAATTGAGTTGTAAATATGTAACTGAGAAAAGCCTCCCAATGAAACATTGTCATTTAACACCTTCTTTAAAAGTCATGACCCCTAACTGACTATTTTGGTCTACTACGCTTTCACTCAATGAAATACCAGCTGAGCACATGGTACTGTGGAAGTATTGTTCGTCAAATTGTGAATGAACCCTATTGAACTGTTGCTAAACAGTTATAACCAGCTTACTTCTACATGACCCATTGCTCAACCAGCTTACCACTTCAGCACGCTCCAATGACTTGTCGAGAGAGGTGAATTAATCTAACCATGTCTTTAGGCTTTTTTTCCATGCAAGTAAATATATGTGCAGAGTTATTAAATGGTGGAACTGTTATAAATGGCACACACTACCAAATTTAAAAGCACATTTTAGAGAGGTTAATGTAAAAAATGCATTATTGAAAATCACCTGGATGCCCTTCTCCCACAGACTCTGATGTGAACATGAAGGATCCGTCATCATGAACATCATTCAGTCCTTCCATGTTTGCCAGCAACTGAACAGATCTTGGAAGTCAGCAGTGCAAAAAAAATGTATTAAGGGCTTAATTTTCCTCCAACCGTGGATGTGAAAGGTCAGGTATGCAGAGCTCCTTATAGTCCCGAGGGTATAAAAGACAGAAAGGCAGAAAGTAAGAGAGGTTTGCAGGCAGATCACAGACTATTTAGCACACAACCTCGCCTCAAAGCACGTTTGCCCCTTTATATGGCAGAAAGAAAACACACACACTATGCTTTACTCACTCACAAACATACATACATACACACACGTGTCATGTGAACGAGTGGGGCAGACCATTCCAGGGGGTGTTGTTTGGGGGGAGGAGATTCAAACTTTCAGAAACTCTCTGTTAACCCTTTGTTCACTCAGCTCTGTCATAGTAAAGCTTGTGGAGAACTAAAGACAAGTTAACTTCAAAGTTATGACAGGCAGTATTAAATCTGAAGAGGTGTGGTGATATGACATTCATCTTTTTCGAAAATAACGTGCTTGCAAAAACAATGCAGGGGATTTGGTTGTATAATAAATGCACTGCAAAACTCTTAAAAACATTGTAGTTTAATATATACCAATCCAGATCAGTTCCAAGACATGCCTTGAGGTGATCTTTGTTCAATTTTGAGCTTAGACTGTGCTTATAATGTCTTTTCCGTCTTCACTCAAAAATTATATTTGCTGCTTGTTTAAACTACTTATTTAATAAGTGTTTTATTGGGCCAACTTAATTTTTTTAATGCTAAATCCTCTTAAATTCCCAATTTCTGTTGGGACAGTATGAAGAAATTGTGTGGAATCCTGCATTTTTACAGTGTTCTAGGTATGAATTTTAAGTGTCATGATATGCAGTTCTTTAGTTGTAGTTTGAACCTTTAAGGTGCCTCGTTGCAATAATAATAAAGCTGGCTTGGTAAGGACTAGAACCAGTGACGTTCTTGCTGTGAGGCAACAGTGCTAACCACTGGGCCACCGTGCCACCCATCTAGGAAATGAGGAGTAGGGTTGGAAGGGGAAATGGCAGTTATATGGAACTTAGGGTATTTATAGTGGCTTAGGAATCGTCGGATTAGTGAATCATAAATTGAATAATGCGGGACCAGCTGCAAGCAATCATAAGCAAGTGATCCTCTCGAAATTAGTTTATAAATAAACCTCACTTAAGGCACCTCGATGCAATAATATGGTAAAGTCTTGACCAAATAAACCTAGAAAGAGTCACTGCATCATTCCAAAGTCATCTGGAATATTGGAATAGATTCATTCGTATATATTTTATTTAGCTGCTTAATTATTTGATCTGGAATGTATTTTAATATTCAATGATTGTGCGTGCCAATATATCTTTCAAAATACTCAAGGAACTCTAATGCATTAGGTAATCTATCACTGAGAGGGGACAAGTGTAATAATAATTAATAATTTATTGTCATTTAGTAAATGCTTACAATGCAACTTTCAGTACAGTACTTAGGGCTCTCCCCTGAAATATTTTCATGTGCTGACAATAGTGACGGGGCAGGATTGTGATCTTAGTTACTCTGCAGTTCTTTAGGCAGCCCCACACGGGATTAAACAGAAAGATAAACTAAATCTATAGGATCCTATAGAAATGACCTATTCAACTTCGCTGAACTGGCTGAACTGTGACAGTGACATGGCAGCTGATTTTTGGAAAATATTGGGAGAACAAATAAGTCAATTTCTTGTTGAACTCTTAACCTGAGGCATATGAGATGAGAGAACAATCAGATATTGGTCCGTTGGCTATTTCTGAAGATTAACAAAACAGTTGAAGAAAGTTATTCTAAATAAGTATCACTGAATTATGAAATTATTCAATACCATTGATTTTAACTATGAACTACACTCACAGACGAGCATGTGAAGCCACACTACATGGACTATGAACCTTCAGCTGTGAGTAGATATGTGGTATAGCTGTTCTGCAATGTCCCAATGATTTCGTCTGAAAACTCAACCAAACAGAATTAGATAACTGAATAGATGCAAACAAGGCTATAAATGGTCGTTATTAAAGGGGTCAAGACATGCGAAATCAAGTTTGCCTTGATCTTTTGATAAATTTAAAGATTTTGTACATTAAAGCATCCCACAAGTTTCAAAGCTTAAAATCTTCTCCTCTGTATAAACAAAGCATTTATTTCAAGGTTTGACATCAGGGGATACAAACAACATATGTACACTGTCTCCAGAGCAAGGCTTTAACCAGGCTCTGCCCACTGCCATCCATTCAGTCAATCAGGGGCTGACACTTATGTTTACAGAATGTGATCATCAAAAGCAAACAAGTCGTATTATGGTCACTGCTGCTGTCTACAGTGGATACTTGTGGTATTCAGATGCTGATTCAGTTTCTGATGTATTCCACTGACAAAATGGACAATTTAGTAGTGAAAAGTAATGAATTACAAATACTCAAATTATGATATAACTGAGTAGTTTTACTCAGGAGTTGTAATTGTAATTCATTTGTTTAAAAATATGTGCTTTTACTTGAGTACATTTTTATTTCTGTTTATTTCTGTAGTTGTACGTCACTGCTTATATGTTTGTTTTTCTTGTTTACAGTGATTGGCTCTATAATGTCCAGCTGCAGACCCGCAGAACCATACATGTTTCAGGCACAAACAATCCAGCACAATCAACTCATACATAAATATATTTATTTTTATATATTGTTGATATAATCGCGTAATAAACAATAATACTATGTCACAAGCATGGCGATCGAGATGGGCGAATGGGGAACGTTGTTTCCGATCGCCATTCAATATCATAGACTGAACATTTTTCTATCAATCATCATAGATGATCAGTCATTATTTATCTGACAGAGTCCATGTAGCAGATAAGTAGAATAATCAGTCCAATAATTCTCATCAAATAAAATTGCACATAGAAACATGCCTTAGTCCCAACCGTAAAACATGTAGGCTTTGTCAATGCAGCATACATGTACAATGTGAAATCAATAAAAGTGTACAAGACGATGCAAAATCATAAAATAGACTGCATGTCACTGATGTAAGATGAAGGGTGCCTACTGTATGATGACATCAATCCAAATGTTTTTAAAACAATAAGTTTTAAACAATAACTAAATACACTACAGAATATTACGTTTTCAAATACATGCACAAATTGCATGTATTCTATCAGTGTTAGTCAGGATCCAAATTGCATAAACTAACCCAGTGTTTTTCAACCTGTGGGCCACAGCCATGACAGTATTACATGGAGGCCACTAGATTTTATCAATAGAAATAAAATTTTTAATATATATAAAAATGTCTTGCCAGAATTTGACTGTTGTGATTTTTAAGTAATATTAAGTATATAAAAAATTGTGGTCCCATTTTTACTAGATGTCCTTTACTACTATTTACATCAAAAAATAAATACAATATACTGTACTCATTGTGTTCATAATATGTTGCAGAACATTTCTGGTGCTCTTGAGGTGGGATATGGGTATGGTTAAGGACAGGTTTGTTGGTATGGGTAGGTTAACTAATTAAAATTAAATGCAAAATGTTTGTAGAAAGACAAAGCAGTCAACTGTACTGTACAACTGTAAAAAATGTAAGTAAAATGCTTTATTTGTAAATGATGGTTTTTATATGGATAATAGCATTGGATAATGTTGTCAAAACACTCAAATGCAATAGTGAGGTTAATATGGCTTTGTTTGAATAATGTCAGCTAATCAAAAGAGTTTAAAGGACCTACCTTTTAAAAAAACTGTTCATTTTAGAACAAGGATTGAGGGTTTCAGCACATATACAGCATACTAATTTAAGTAAAAAGTTAATTACCAAGAAGAAGAAAAAAGAATACTCCTGAATACACCTAACAGAAATATTTATTGTGCAATAATCTAATGCTATTGCTGCAAGAATCACGTAAAGAGAAATATAGAATAGTCTGAATTTTGTTGACAAATATTATGACAACAGTGAACAGTCGTTTGGAAAAACTCTTTCAGTTTTGGGAATTTTGATCCATTCCTCGAACCAATCACCATCCAATAAGGAAATACCACAAGTGGACTGTGTTGAGGACGATAAGGACATTTTTTTTTCATGTGGCAAAATAGTGTTCAGTAGTCTTTATTAATCCTTTAGCTTGACAATGTTCTCAAAAGCATGACAACATCTGCTGGCTACAATATGTCACAACATACAAGAAATTGATTGAATTTATTGACTAGAGGTGGCCATAGATTATTTTTTTTAATCTAGATTAATCTCACTGTAATCTTGGAATTAATCAAGATTAAAATGGCTCATTTAAATTCTGCTGAAGGCATTTAGAATATGTGTGCTGCCAAAATAATGACTAAAAGTAAGTCTTTGAGAATGAGTTTCTTAAGCCAGGTGGCGCAACAGTCTCCTGTTTCACAATTTGCTTGAGAACTGTTCTACTATGATAATTGTTGATGAAAAGAAATGATGTTCAATAAGATGCACTTGTGTTTACTAACTGTTTATTCAGTTAAGCATGAATTTTGAACTGTAGGCCTACATAAGCTTGGAACAGCAATCTTTGATCAGTTTAATCCGACTAAAGTCATAACTGAACTAAACAGAAAAGTAATTAAGATGTGGAGTATGCTTATAATAGTGGCATTATTGAAGTAAGCAATGCAATTAAACTTTTACCGTCATGTAGGTAAAATGCGGAAGTTTTTTTCTTTCCAATTGGTGTGTGTTATTAAATTCTATAACACTCTCACCAGTCCTTACTCCTTATTTGCGTCTAAAACCCCAGTTTGTCACGGGGGCATGAATGAAATGTTCATGAGTGAATGAGAAACGGCCGAACTGCAGTTAAAGTAACCCAAAATTACAGGAAACTCTTACATGAAAGCACTTCACATAAACACCTTAATTATATTATTGTCTATTAAGGCAAATAACTAGAATACAGATGTCCATTTAAATGTAGTCAGTAGTGTCTTCGAAGTTAGTGAAAGTTCCAGAAGGGCATACTACTGATTTGATTCAGAAGGGCACTTTTTTGTCAGACGGCTCACCGAATTGACTTTCATTCATTGTCATTTATTTTAAAAAGCACCTAGTCCATTTTATTTGTATATGTTTTACTCGAACACATAAACTCTACAGGTGCCTGATAGTTAGATGTGGAGCTAACATT